GTCGGGGCGGGGGTGCGCTGCGATCGCCAAAGTCTGCGCGCGAGCATCCCTCTGCGGGCCGGTTGACCGAAGCAGCCTGTGCTCGGATCACCACAGGGTGCTGCTAAGCGAACAAGGGGTTATGAGCGGATGTGCTGAGGCAGGCGGTGTCCGGCCTAGCCCAGCGCACGTGGGCTCCAGGCGCCCCGAATTGGCGTGGACGTGCTCGATAAGCCCGCTGCACGGGCGGAGCCCCCGTAGCCCAGACCTCGCTACGCTCGAGGGATGCCTGGCCCACTTCTGAGCCACGTCCGGCCACACGTCGGCTTTCTGGCATCCGCCTAGAACGCCCCCGTCTCCTCGGCAACCACCGCGGTGACTCGAGTGCGCCTCGGGCGGGCGGCGCACCCTACCGCTCCCGCCACCGCCCGAGGCAGGTACCCAAAAAGGCGGGTGGCGCATGTACCAACAACGCCACCGCCAGGGGCAGGACCGAAAAGATCACACCAAGAAACGCAGGGAACGCAACCGCGAAACTTCTCAAAGCATTTTGAGAAAGCAGTGGGCGGTTCATGTTTCGGTTTCAACGTGAAACCGGTTCCTGTAAGTGATTCGATCTAACGGTGTCAGCTACAGCTGTGAAGCTAGGACAGAAACAAATCTCAGAGGCCATGAGCGGTCAAATCTTGCGCAGTCTTGCAACAAACAAAACCCAATCATCATATTGTCTGTTCTGGTCGGATTGGCAAGCTGTTCCACCCTGCGCACGAATTCCTCCAGCTCAGGTTCCCCTAATTACCACCAGCCTCGGGAAGGCAAGACGGGGCGGGGAGCTCGGCCTCGCTCGCATTCTTCCCCGCGCTTCTCCGCCTGACGCCTTTCCTTCTTCTCATGAGTAGATCCATCCTGTCGCATCCCAGAGCTAGTCGGAAGGGCGGGCCGGGTGTTTCGCCCCAGACTTCCCTACCACTTATATTCTGGAGCTCTAAAAGTGGCAACTGTTTCACAGATGGAGTGGGCGGGACTTTTCCAACACGTGGCTCTCGCCTTGTCGCCGCGCACACCCGTCTTAAAGCATACAAGAGTTTTACGGATGCAGGGCGTGTTGTTTTCAAAATGTGGCTCTCGCCTGAGCACCGCGCACATTCGTCTTAACAAACAATTGCAAGAGATTCGGATTGAGGGCGGGTCGTTCGAAATGAGGCTCTCGCCTCAGGGCCGCGCAAAATCGTTCTCAAACGTTGGACAAATTTCACGGGCTGGGGGCGGCTCCTTTTCAAAATGTGGCTTGCCTTAACGCTGCTCAGATTTGTCTTACACGGAGTTTCTCAAGGATTCCCACGGTCAACGTACCAGACATGGTATTGGACGGATTCAGGATTGCCAGGGCTTAACAGCTACGTGGATTCGCGGCGTTGAAGTCGCAGGAATGGTGTTCTGGGACGATCCATGATCGTCGAGACGACATAGTCAGGTTGATTTTTGGCGTTGGGGTCTCGAGAATGGTGTTTTGGCACGCTTCGCGTCTTCAAACGGTTGACTCTCAATGGGGCACTCTCCCCGGTGGAAATGATTCCTTGTATGGGGCACATGGAGGGGGGGCTTGGAGGGAGGGTGCATGCCAACTTCGTTGGTGACTCTTGGGCTTAGTTACTCTGGTCCCTCCTCCTCCTCCTCCTCCTCCTCCTCCTCCTCCTCCTCCTCCTCCTCCTCCTCCTCCTCCTCCTCCTCCTCCTCTCCTCCTCCTCCTCCTCCCCCCGCCCTCCTCCCTCCCCTCCGCTCCCCCTCCCCCTCCGCCCTCCTCCCCCCCTCTCTCCTCCTCCTCCTCCTCCTCCTCCTCATCCCCTCCTCCTCCTCCTCCTCCGCCTCCTCCTCCCCTCCTCCGCCTCCTCCTCCTCCCTCCTCCTCCTCCTCCTCCTCCTCCTCCGCCTCCTCCGCCTCTCCTCCGCCTCCTCCCTCCTCCGCCCTCCTCCTCCCTCCCCTCCTCCCTCCTCTCCTCCTCCTCCTCTTCCTCCTCCCCCCCTCCTCCTCTTCCTCCTCCTCCTCCACCTCCTCTTCTTCCTCCTCCTCCTCCCCCTCCTGCATCCCCTGGCTCTCCAAACATCCAACGCTGCCTCCTCCGAGGCCCGCCGGGCTCCACAGACCCCCGACGCCGTGCTTCACCGCGTGCACCCCAGGGAGGTCCCGACCCGCTCCCATGGACCTTGGACGCCCGAGTTATCCGGGGTAACTCGGGTCCGGGCTAACTCGGGTTCGGATTCCCGAAAAACGAACCCGAGTCAGCCCTGACCCGAGTTGCCCCGGATGATTCGGGGCTCTGAGGACCTGCTTGTCGCCCTGAGTCGTTAGGTGACGGTCGCGGGGCCCGAACAGGGAGAAACGATCCACAAACAGCAACGAGGTCCTGAGGTGTCCACGGCGCGGGGTGGTCAGGGGTCCGCCCCCCCCCCCCCCCCCAGGGAGGTCCCGACCCGTTCCCCAGGGATCTACTTGTCGCCCTGAGTCGTACACGTCGACGGTCGCGGGGCCCGAACAGGCAGAAACGATCCACCAACAGCAGCGCAGTCCTGAGGTGTCCACGGCGCGAGGTGGTCAGGGGTCCGCCCCCCCCCCCCTTCTCGCCATCGCTCGGGCGTCCATCCCCCGTGCAGTGCTCGGCTCCGTCCGTGTTTTTGTTTGTTCGCAAGATGACCCAAAGGGCTCCCCGATGCCCCATCGCCCCCCAAAAAGCACACGCCCGAGCGATGCCAAGCCTTGGGCGAGGGTTTTGGACGCCCGAAATGGGTACGGAAAGAATGGGTACAATGCCCAACAACAAATGTTGTCCCAAACCATCAGCGGCTGCTGTTGGGCAGGCGGCCTTCTGTTTCGAATGGACACAGGCAGCGGCGGCGTGGACAGCGAGTCCTGCTCAAAATGAACAGGATCCGCTGTTGGGCAGTGTACCCATTCTTTCAGTGTCCATTTCGCTCGTGCAGAAGGGTGGAGGAGCGGTCGCCTGGAGCTCGCCGTTCCAGTCGCTCGCCCGGCTCTCGTCGTGGACGCAGCCCTGCGCCGCCCCCCACCCCCCCCGACGGGCCGCGGGTCCTCGTCCCTCCTTCGCTCTCCCCCTTGGCCTCTCTCCTCCCTCCTCCCTCCGCAACTTCGCCCTCCTGTCTCCGTCCGCCTCCTCTTCCCTCCATCTTCCCTTCCCCTCCCATGCATTTGTCCCTCATCACCCATTGTTCTCCCTCCGCCTCCTCCTCCTCCTCCTCCTTCTGCTTTTCTTCGCCTCCCTCTCCCCTCACGCCTCCATCCGCTTGCTGCTCCACAACTTCCTCCTCCGCCTCCCTGCCGAAGAGAAAATGGAGGAGGGAGAAGAGGAGAAGAGTAGAAGAAGGAGCGAAGGATGGAGTAGGAGAGGGGTATGAAGAGGAGTTAAAGGAGGAGGGAGCGGGGAGCAGAAGGGCTGAGAGGAGATAAAGAAAGGCGGACAAACAAGAAAAAGATGAAAGTGAGGAAACGGTGCCTGAGGGCAAAAACAACACACGCCATTGAAGCAACAACGGGCACTCCCGTCCCACCCCCCTCATCAAATAGCACCACAACGTTGGCCAGCGTGGGCCCCAAACAGGTAGGTACTGCACTGTGAAGGTGACTGATTTGGTTTGGTCAGGTGTGCAGGGGTGAGCTGTGCTGTGGAAGCTTTGCGGCGCGAGCTAGGTGGTGCTAGCTACGCTGTGTGAACGATGTGGTATAAGTTATGCTGTATACCCTACGTGGTGGCAGCCATGTGGTGTGGACTACGGTGTGCGAGCTGGGTGGTGTAAGCTATGCGGCTCAAGCTGTGTGGGTGAGCTGTATGGCGTGAGCTATGTTGTGCACTATATGCGGCCTGGGCTATGTGGTGGAACCTAAGCAGTGCGAGCTAGGCGGTGTAAGATTTGCTGTGTAAGCAGTGCGTTGTGAGCTGTGCGGCGTGAGCTATGGGTCACGAGCTATGTGACGCAAGCTATGCACTCCACACTGTGTTGTGCAAGCTACGTAGTGCGAGCGCACGAGGCACCACAGAGCGCCTACTGGCCATCGCTCGGACGTCCATGTCCCGTGTTTTGTTTGGTTTCGTGCGTGTTTTTGTTCGCCAAATGATCAGGGATGCCTCTCGATGATCCTCGCCGAAGGAAGCATGCACACGTCCGAGCGATGCCAAGCCTACGAGCGGGCACGGGCGCCGACGCGGCGAGTCCTCGGGCAACCCACCGAGCGCACTGGGCGCCCACGAGGTGCCCGCGAGCGGGCACGGGCGCCCACGCGGCGACTCCTCGGGCAACCCATGCGGCGCACTGGGCGCCCAATGAGGCGCCCACGAGCGGACACGGCGCCCACGCAGCGAGCCCACGGGACACCCACCAAGGCGCCGTGGGCACCCACGAGGCGCACACGAGCGGGCACGGGCGCCGACGCGGCGACTCCTCGGGCAACCCATGCGGCGCACGGAGCGCCCAATGAGGCGCCCACGAGCGGGCACGGGCGCCCACGCGGCGAGTCCTCGGGCAACCCATGCGGTGCACGGAGCGCCCACGAGGCGCCCACGATCGGGCACGGGCGCCCACGCGGCGAGCCCACGGGGAACCCACCAAGGCGCCCTGGGCGCCCACGAGGCGCCCACGAGCGGGCACGGGCACCCACGCGGCGAGTCCACGGGAAACCCACCGAGCGCACGAGGCACCCACGAGGCGCCCACGAGCGGGCACGGGCGCCGACGCGGCGAATCCACGAGAAACCCATGCGGCGCACGGAGCGCCCAATGAGGCGCCCACGAGCGGGCACGGGCGCCAACGCGCGGCGAGCCGACGGGACACCCACCAAGGCGCACTGGGCGCCCGCGCGGTGCACACGAGCGGGCACGGGCGCCAACGCGGCGACTCCTCGGGCAACCCATGCGGCGCACGGAGCGCCCCACGAGGCGCCCACGAGCGGGCACGGGCGCCGACGCGGCGACTCCTCGGGCAACCCATGCGGCGCACTGGGCGCCCGCGAGCGGGCGCGGGCGCCAACGCGCGGCGAGCCCACGGGACACCCACCAAGGCGCACTGGGCGCCCGCGCGGTGCACACGAGCGGGCACGGGCGACAGCGCGGCGAAAAGCCCAAGACAACCGTAGAAGTACAGTCGGGGCCCTGAAGAAGGAACGCTTTTCGTTGGGGAGGGGCTCCGCGTTCCTTAAGTGTTTCGCAGCTTGCCTCAGGCTTTCCTTATGTTTTCGATCGTATATCGAAGTTCAAGTCATGGAAAAAAAGGGGCCTCGTTCCTTATTTTGGGTTCCTTAGGTCAAGCCCCCGACTGTACCCAACAAAGCCAAGTAAAAACCCCTAAAATAGGCGCTGTGTGGGGGAACCTTCATTACAGCATGGCGAAGCTGGAAAGAATGTGAGGTCCTCCCGAAGCTGCTGCAGGTCGAGATGAAGTGAGAGCCGGAATGATGATCCCGTAACGGTCCCAACAGAAAATTGGGACTTGGGACGGCAGAGTGATGCACAACCGCTATGGCCCTCCACCAGGAAGCGGCAGAACAGAAAGGTTGAGCATCTGGTCGGTTGATACTCGACAAGGAACTATGGTGAGGAACGCTGATGTTCAGAAGGAATCGCCTTTATGCAGCTGGCTTTGAGAAACGGCATGCCTGCCGAGGCGGAATTACGATGTTGAACAGGAACCTGCCCCTCACTGAAGATACGCGTTACGTGCTTCCCACCTCTGGGGAGAACGAATCTGGCAAATAGCCCACCGAGTCCCTGTGAGTCGGCCACAAAACTGGAACGAGTCGCCGTCTATCTGAGCCGTCGCGGTTGGACACGCCAAGTTTTCCACTCAGGACACCATTGCCTATTTCTTAAGCCTCTCCCGGTGAGACGGCGCTGCGCAAGCTCAGAATTGGGCCCGAACCCTCTCTTGCGAATCATCGCTGCTCATGAGGACGTCTCGGGAGACGCGGTCGAAGAACGTCCGCAACGACAGGCACTACCTCATAATGTTTGCCGGTGCGCACACGGTGAACCTCTCCCCCTCTTCCCATCCACCCTCTCCCAAGGCAGCTAAGCCAAAGCGATCCCTGCGCGCCGCCAATCTGCCGCAATTCAAAACCGGGGCTACTCCCAGATAGTGCAGCCACGGGCCTTTCCGACTGCGCGCTGCCCTAGCAGCCGCTTTCCCTGAGAAGCTCCTCGACCGACCCTCCGGTTTCGGCCTCGCCCGCTCCGCCACAGACGAGATCGTCCACGCACTCGCCCACCACTCACCCTCACTCCCGTACCATCCCCCCCTCTTCGCTCCCCTGTCCCCGCTACCCTCCTCCATGCCAGGATCAGTAAGCATCGAATCGACAAGTCGAATCTTATCGAAACGTGCATCGGATCGAACCGCATCGGCGCGGAGTCGGATTCGGACTGAATCGGCTGCGACAATATGCACAACAATGCCATGCGAACATCGACCCGCATCGTATCGTCGGCATGTCAGAGTCGAACTGGATCGGGCCAGCCGAACTCAATATCGAATCGGATCGACCGGATTGGAATGGACCCTGCGGACCTCCGATAAATGACCTAGCACCCCGCAGATGCGGATAAGAGTGAGGGGGCGGTGGGGACGTCGGCAGTTTGCGAGACTCTGGAGAAGCCCGCCGCAAGCACCAAAGTTTCACAAACTATAAAACGAGCCCGCCGCGGGCGCCGACTTTTTCGTGAAACCAATGTGGGTAGGTCGCGGGTGGAAATGGGTAGCGGGTGGGTCGCGGGTGGGTCGCTGTTGGGTCGCGGGTGTAGAGGGCAGAAAATCCATCCCATAATACTTACCCCGACAAGCGAAGCCGTGTAGTAAACGCACACAAGGATGAATTGAACAGGGCAAGGCTGTCTAGTAAACGCCCAGGGCCGTTCAGTAAACGTCAATTGTCGGGTCCGGGTGGTTTCGCCTCCCTTGAGGGTGGGTCGCGGGGTGGGTCGCGGGTGGGTCGCGGGGTGGGTCGCGGGTGGGTCGCGGGGTGGGTCGCGGGTGGGTCGCGGGGTGGGTCGCGGGTGGGTCGGGGGTTGGGTCGCGGGGTGGGTCGCGGGGTGGGTCGCGGGGTGAGTCGCGGGGTGGGTCGCGGGGTGGGTTGCGGGTGGGTCGCGGGTGGGACGACGACAACAAACAACAACACAACAACAACAACAACAACAACAACAACAACCATTTTAAGGCTGTACGCTCTTACTTGCCCGCGAGTCATTCAACACGTATACCCTACACCCTCGATGCCCGCCCTCTTCGTCTTCGATCACACCCCTTTCGGGGGGATTATTTCTCTTTGCTGGGGCCGGCGGGCTTAGACGTACGGGCAAACCGGAACGGGCGGACAATCCTTCGGGGGCGTACATCTCTCTGCCCGCCATTGGAATTGGCGCGGGCCCTGCAAGAGGAGGAGGGGAAGAACGAGGGAGAGTGGGAGGAAGGGGAGGGGGAAGGACGAAGGAAGAGGGAAGATACCACGTTGTGAAGGCGTCCTTGGCGCGCGCGTGGTTCCTGAGCGCCGAAACGCAATTCCAGAATAATTTGTGAGGACGTCGCACGCGAGAGCGCAGTCCTGAGTACATTGTGAAGAAATCTCGGGCGGAAGCGGGGGCCCTAAGTTGCGAGGAAGTCTCAAGCGGGAGCGCGGTTCCTGAGCAAATTGCACGGAAGTCTCAGGCGGGAGCGGGGGTCCTCACTAAATTGCGAGGAAGTCTCAGGCGGGAGCGCCGTTCCTGAGTCAATTGCGCGGAAATGTTAAGCAGGAGCGGGGGTCCTTAGTTAAATTCGAAGAAGTCTCAGGCGGGAGCGCCGTTCCCACGTAAATTGCACGGAAGTCTCAGGCGGGAGCAGGGGTCTTGATTACATTGCGAGGAAGTCTCAGACGGGAGCGCCTTTCCTGAGTAAATTGCGCGGAAGTCTCAGGCGGGAGCGGGGGTCCTGAGTAAAAATCGAGGAAGTCTCAGGCGGGAGCCGTTGTTGTTGTAGCCCGGGGGGCAGGGGCACAGTTTGAGCAGGAAGACTT